GCAAATAGTGAATAAACAGGTGAAAGTCGAAACATGTTTGCCATGATTCGTTTCAGTTGTTCAATATATTCCGTAACTCGTATGGCTCAAGGAACATTTTGGAAATATCTGTCGAGGGAAACTTATATTTAATAAAAGTATGGGGCAGTCTTTATGTTTTAGGCAGATATATATTTTTGATAATGTAAGGTACAGTAGGGGGTGGCTCTCCGACCCCACTGCACCAATTACGGGGAAAATAAATGGGCAACCTATGTTGCTGAAAAATTAAAAAAAAATAAGTGATTTTCGCTGCGTGCGTGCGTGTGTGTGTGTCGAATTTCAAACGATGGGATGTTTTGGAAACATTTTTGTACATCTAATAACTTTATATCCCATTTGTTTTTTGTTTGTTTGTGTTTATTTTTTTGTTTCTTTGTTTGGGTTTTTTTGTTGTTTTTTTCGGTAGATCTAAACTTTTTTAAATACCATGTTACTTCATTAATTGACACTTCAATTGAAATTAAAATTGAACAATTGAAGATGTATCTCTCTATCAAAATTTGGTCTGTAAAGATAGATACAATTAAAAATGTCTGAACTCCCTACGCTTTATTAAAAGAAATTTTCAAACAAGTAATAAAGATATTAAACAAAAAGGTTTGGTGGGGTTTACGCATAACCTAAAACTAAATTTCAACGTTATTCATCATCATCATCATCATCATTATCATCATCATCATCATCATCATCATCATCACCGTCACAAACTTCATCAATAAGTTTCAGTTTTTGGCTACTTTGTAAGGTAGCTTATTACTAGCCTTTAAGATATACTGTGACTGGCCTCACTATCAAATCAACAAGTGAGTGTAACATTATTATTTTTTTTTAATCAGTTTAGAAATATCCCAAAATCAGATCCGTAGTGACCGTAATTAAAAAAATGGTTTATGAACGACAAAATGTTGTTGCAAAATTATATCTGTAATATTTAGCATCTTATTTCTCTCGTTTTCAAAATTTATCATTTTATTTACCGCACATATAATGTATCACTGAGTTAGTTTATGCTATTTTCAATTTTAAGTTTTAAACAATTTTCTTCTGTTTATTGAAGAAGTATTCATAGTTTTAAGAAAATGAAAATCGGGTTTTTGTTCCTTTTTGAAGTAAGCTCATGAACGAAATTGGTTCGTCCATTAGACTTTGGGTCGAATTATTTTGGGATCGAATCAAACTCACGAATATTTGCCAACCAAAAAAGCCGAGGGCATCAAATGATGTCACTGGAAGCTGATTGGTTGTTTTGGCAGGCCGCCATATTCAAGAGTGTTTGCAAACAAATTTTAATCTGAACATTGTAGTAAAACCCTTAAACTTTTCCACATAACAACAATGGATGAAAATTTTTTCAGGTTGAATTATTTACTATCATCGTTTTTTAAATGATTAAGAATTGCTTAAGGGCATTCAAGATTTGTAAGTTTGTCACCTAATTTCGTGATCAAAATAATATCGCTATACTCAATATTTCGGCTGCAAGACCGCCAGGTTTTAGAAATTGATGATTATGAACAAGACATAGTGAGCTCTCTGATAGAATTTATTACGAAAAAGGCAAAGAGCCAAAGTGAGCTCTCTGACATAATTTAATTTTAATATATATGAAAAAGGCGAAGCCTCAAACTTCAAAGCGTACACTTTGAACTCCATAGCTGATTAGCTCAAACATTTTTTCACCAATTTTCAGTATATTGGTACCAAATGGTAGGGAATTGATTCTCTTAAAGGAAATAAAGGTGTCATTACAATTTTATATCTATCAATAAATTTTTCAGTTTCAGTTCTAGTTGGGCCCGCCATTTCCAATGTAACCCGATGATAATACATGTACATGTAGGTGTGGTATAACAATAACAGAACAATTGCAACTATTCTGATTAATAATAATCGCCATTTCTTCTAAGTGAAACTGAAGCAGTGCATTAAATACCTGATAACACCTCTAAATCGGAAATGTGAACAATTTTTTTAACCAACTTCCCCGTTCATAGGCTTTGCCAAATGTCATAATCATATTAGAGACTCTATACACCTACAATTGCACACTTTCATCAGCACAATTCACTCAACACTATACGCACTAATTTTTGCCTTTGCTACTGCCACTCGGAAAATATTTATGTTCATACCACTTGATAAAATAAATCCTGTATTTATGGAAGAAACTTGAATATCCTCTATTTATTCAGTATTTTATTAATAAGTTGAGTATAAATGTAATTATTTTGATTGTGATTTAATATCAATAAAATTACAGTATGTCAGTCAAAATTTTACACTTTACGCTTTATTGTGTGAAGGCACTAGGAATCACATATAGAAAAAGTTCTTTGCGAAACTTCATATTTGAATGAATGGTAATAGGCAAGGAATTCCAAATGTATTTTTCCATGGGAACCTTAATGACTCCTAAATGAGACAGGAAACCAGAAAAACTGCTTCCTGGTGTGCTTAGATAAATCATAGTACAGGTACTCAATGTTAGCAAAGCCTATTAACAGGGAAGTCAGATAAAAATAAACTTGAAAGTCAAGGGCTGGATAAATGTAGCATTATTCTAGTTGCCTTTGATATTTCCACACACTGTTCCAGTTTTCAATGGGAACACCTCAGCAGAAAGTTGCCATTGTTTTATAATCGGAATACCTAATTATTTTTTGCAAGTCTGGAGTTAATGAGAGAAATGCATAATTCAGGCTGTTTACATCAGATGTCACAGTACAAACCATAAGCAATTGCATGTGTATTCATATTACACATTAAGGTGACAACAGACACTTTCCGTGGTACTCACATAAATGTCATTTAAACCAAGTTATTTTAGTAATAATTGTTATTCATTTAATCTTTATGCATTAAATGTCGTTGATCATCATAAAAAATAACATATTTGAAAAAAAATGCCTTTGTAAATGATTGATTTTGAATAAAAATCCTAAAATTTTAAATCGTATTATCAAAGTCATTTTTTATTTTTTTGTCATCAAACTTTTGGAAAATAATCTTACTTATATTATCTGGGGAACCGTGTCTCAAATTTTTTCTATCTTTTCTCAAAAAAATATTACGTAACATCAAACATTTTATGCGACTTTTTTCACCATACATATTACGTAATTAAAGATAATTAAGTCGCTGATTGAGCAAACAAAAATCCCTGACACGGTTCCCTCCTTAAATGAATTTCCTTTCATGTGCTTTAAACCGCATGTTAATTGCTTGATTATTAAAAAAGTTATGCGGATTCAAAGTTAGTCCGACCCGCATCAAACGAAGTGTCATAAATCGGCTGTTCTCTCTCGGACCCCTACGTTTCACGCTAAATAATTGCATAATACACAAATATCGCACCAGAGAGGGTCACAAGTTGCGGTAACATACTCTAACAACATTTTATGACCCAGTGACATCTGATCAATTAAAAAGCTGCTGATTAATATCAGTTTATAGCCGAAATTTCTTCAATTCTTAACGTGATTTACTGTCCGTCTGGTATCTGTCGCACATGTCACGTGACTATCGGTAAAATTTGAGGCACTCAGTGGGGGGAAATGGAACGCATTTACGCACCGCTAGCGGGGTATTTAATTGTTTCCTTTTTGAAGTTTATTATTATTATCATCAGCATTATTATTGTATTATACCAGTGTCACTCTGCCTGTGTATTCGTGTATGAAATTCCGTTAAAATATAAAATAAAATAACAAAAAACTGAGCTTCTGAAAGTCTTTTAAAGTCCATGGTAGATGTACAAATAAGAACGGGATATTATATATTTTTTCCACCAAATTGATAATGCTTCACATATTTTAATAGAAATAAAAGGTATTACTCGATCATCATGATCTAGCCTTCTTGACTTCTATTATGAATATCATCTATGCACGGCAAAAAGATCCAGTTTCTACCGGGATAGACAATAAATTTCATACTTTGTCCCAGATTTATTAGTACTGTGTCCGATTTACTGGCGAACAATTTATTTTCACTAAAATATCTTTTAATATCTTTTTTTTATTCCTAGAGAACACGGATATATATTACATATAAGTAATATAAATCCGTGATAGAGAAATTATCATCCTTAGACAATCTAAAATGGTTTAGAAATTTGTCAGGGACACCTTACCACAAGTCATATAGGCGTTCACATAAAAAATGTTTGTCTGTTTTTGTTGTTGTTTTACTTGACATTGTTAGAAAACGAGGTTGAATGTAAAGTAAGCCCTTGAATCCGTACAAAAGTCTATCAACTCAATGTAATATCTATCAGATTAACGGGACAGACAAATTATTTTCACACATTATGGATATTTTAGCAACTACATTTTTAATCAACCCCGTGGTCGTGCGATTTGCCACTATGGTTAATTATTTATGTTTCATACATTATGTTACGTACATTGGCCGACAATTTCTTAATTTATAAAAAAGGCTAAATGTTGAGATATTCATAAAAGATGTACGGTAGTTGTGCGATACTAGCCTGGGTTCCAGTCTGTCGATTTTATGTTATGTTTCTGTTTGGCAAATCGACATACTATCATAACGACGAACGAATACGGAATATTTTAGCGCATATGTTATGAAAAAAAAAATGTTATAAACAAGCAAAAACTATCAACGCCTGAATCCCAGGCTAGTACGATACATGTATTACGAGAAGTATGGACCAGTATGGACCTGTAATTCACGGATATATGGAACTACCGATTTCCCTCATTGATGCCTCAACAGGGGGCGGAGCGTTATCGATAATCGACAGGTTACGCGAATAGCAGATACAAATAGAATAGGTACCGTTTTAAAACGTTTAAAAACACATTTTTTGGACTAACTGCTTCCAAAATTAAATCACGAATGTGTTCAGAAAAGGTTCATAAATCTAATTAGCAAAAAATCTCACTTTAGGTATTTTCAGTGATAATTGACTCCGTTGTCACCTTAAGTAATAGTTAATGAACTTTATTTATGACCTTATACATGTATAGTGTTCTAGGTAGGAATGGGATCAACAAGACTTAGTTTTCACTTAAAGTTTCTTTAATCAATTAGTTTTTCATTTATATGTTTTTTAAAAGTAATTTTTAAAAAAATCCAAGTACTTTTTCAGCAGACAATTCAGTAGGGCTTACATTGAATATTTAAATGTCAGTGATTTTTTCCCCTGTATTTTACAGCCAAATAAAGGCTGTTTCCCCTACCTAAAAATAGGTATATTTTCCCCTCAAAAAAGCTAATATTTTCCAGTGAAATGCCTTGTGCACTTCTTCATCAGAACCATTACTTAACAGCATCCGACTATTACATCAGCTAGAAGACAGAAAGCTGTCCCTATAGCCTCTGCTGTGTACCATCCATGTTAAATTGAATTGAATTGAAAATTTTATAAAATGTGTGGTTAAATTCCATTCTCAGATGGGGCAGCACGAAATACCCAAATATTGCCCAAATACACCCAAATATTGCCCAAATATACACAAATATTGTCCAAAAATACTAAAAGTAATTGTTTTATACAAAAAAATGCTGTTTTCATTATAAATTATAATATGCACATTTACTAATATAAAATCAAACATATCCAAATATACATTTTCCTATCATTGTAGTTTTAACCAAAATTAGTCAAAATATATTGATGTGCGAAACCTTGTTTCTGAGATATTTTCGTTCTGCCAGGGGCAGAATCTCGTTTTTATGTAGAGGCGAGATATTGCCCAGACAAGAAAATGGCACAATATCTCGTCGCATAATACAATTAGTTGGACTAGAACCAAAATATACCCAACTACAGTATAGGGCCTACTCCATTAAAGCTATATAAAATTTAAAAAAAAAATATTATCATGGACACTTGTATGAAATTTGAACAAAGTCATACACAAAAAAATATATAAATGTAGACAACAAATATAACCATATGTTTATCTTAAATTGCAAGTATATTCATTAATGAACCTATTTAAGCAAATATCACAAGTTTATTTTCTAAACAACATCTGAACTGCACATTTCAACGGAATGAATGAAATTTATAGCGCCTAAGTCATACTATTGTAACACATGGTGTTATAACACAGGGTAGATGTGGTTAGTCATTTATTGTTTCCAATCTACATATACAGTCAATATCATGAATATACAATATATCTTCTCTGTTGAAGTTAACTTTAATCAAGGCACTGAAATGACATAATAATAACAATGTTTGCACATATAATATATACAATCAATAAACATAGTATTTAATAAACATCTTATTACTATAGACATTAAGATTACTAAATGATTATAGCCTTTGTACTCTTATGTCTAACCAGTTAAACATTACATGTATAATGTTTACATTATTACAAAAGGTATAAATACCAACATACTCTTATACTTACAGATCTATGGGATCTTAAGCCTATTCCACAATAAACCAATGACAAATTAGAATCTATAGCACTTCACTTCACATCACATACATCCTGTCTCACGTGATGGTTAACTGTGAACAAGATTAAAACATATGAGCCGTGTCATGACAAAACCAACATAGTGCGTTTGCGACCAGCATGGATCTAGACCAGCCTGCGCATCCGCGCAGTCTGATCAGGATCCATGCTGTTCGCTTACAAACCCTATTAGAAGTAGAGAAACTGATAGCGAACAGCATGGATCCTGATCAGACTGCGCGGATGCGCAGGCTGGTCTGGATCCATGCTGGTCGCAAACCCATTATGTTGGTTTTGTCGTGACACGGCTCATATAATACATGCTGGTTATAAAAATATAGAATTGAAAGAGAAAGTAAATGACTGCCATTTTGGAACATTCAACGCGCTGTAAAATACAACATTGCAAATAAACCGAATAATAAATAATCATTTCAGCCATCACAAAACTACCTTAAATACTTCTCACAAACACTTGGATAGCTCAACCAAATGTAAATCATATAAACAAGTTCAAATTAACAGAATGTTCTCTACATCAACCACGTAAACTCTTTTCAAAACCTGCACAACATTCCCGCCAAACTCTCGCGAGATCACACAGAAAACAAGAAAATAAAAGACCAGCAAGAACTTATCAAAACCTAAAGAAATAAAACACCAGAAAGAGCTGACACGTTTCATAATACTGTCATACGAAAATATGACCCTGCTACACTATGTTATAAATATTAATTCATTTTCTCATTATAATCTGTATTTTATACAAACAAAAATGAATATTGCTTTATTTAGGTATATATTGGCAATATTTGGGTGTATTTGGATATATTTGGGTATTTTGTGCCACTGCTCAGATGTTGGAATTTGATTTTCCCCTTTTCTGATTTATTGCGCTATATTTTCTCCTTCAGAAAGCTACAGGTTGTTTTGAAAATTGAAAAAAAATCACTGAATGTTAATATGACAGATACTGTAGATGTATTCAACATTTGAATTAATGTCAATTCACAATACCATTTAAAATCCCCCCTGTCTTGTGCAAATACATGTATCTCAATTTTATCTGAGGAGATAAGTGAATGGCACTTCTGCTTACATTGTCCCTGGTCTTGTTTACCAACTGTGCAAAAATCATGCATTTCCAGCAATGACATTCAGTGTGATTTTGTTTCATCAAAGTTTTACAGAATTCATATTTTGGCCTGTCATCTGTAATCTGTGATATGGTTTTCGTAGCGACTGTTTAATTTGTAAGCAGATTCTGGTTAAGTATTTTCTTGGTCAGCAAAAGATTTTACAAGCATAGGCTAAAAACACTGCTTGTTTTGACAACACAGGCCACCTTAAAAATTTTCTGTTGAAATGTTTCATCTTAATGTTTTAAGCTGCTGTTTACATGTACATTAATTACGAAACTACGAGTTTTACGAAAAAACAAATTTCAAAATTGTATGAATGCAAGACAAATTCACATTAAAAATTCAAATTCACTAGCATTTTGCAATTTATAATATCTGTAATTCTAACTCCATAAATTACTAGAATATAATTAATACTTCTATATATTATGTTATTCTGATGCATTTTGCCACCTACTCATGGGTTACAAACAAACTTTTACTATGATATACATGAATTTACCAAGTTGTAACTGTAAAAGTTGTTAGGTACCCTGGGATTAGATGGGTAAAAACTGGCGGTGGCTCTTGTTAATGACAATTTTGATCTTTGAATTTTATTTTTGATATTGCAGGTTACCAGAAGGAAAGAAATCAAGAAGACACTCAGTAATTGGAATTTTTCCTGATTTACGTAGTGCAGTAAGTTTTTCAATTTGCTGTGAAATTTTTGTCAATGCTAGCAGGGACATCATTAAAATTGTTTTTAAGCCACTTCTACAGATTTAGACTTTCCAAGTTAGGTCAGTTGGTGAATAAATTCTTCCTTTTTGTCAGACTTAGATAGAGCGGTCATTGATGGAAGCAATATAGATGTACAACTACATACATGTATAAACATGTTTGAAACATTAAATAATTTTGACTTATTACTAGATATTATGAAAATTCAAACCAAAATAAGTATATACATATTGGTTATTCTATACATATATAAGCAGGTGTTCATGTCTAAAACTTTTTTGTTATGTAATAATTAATTGACAAATTTTATGGCAGTAATGACAAAAAAAATGGTCAGGAAAAAAATCACGCAGTGGGCTTTTACAAACAAGACACATCATAATTGTATGATCAGAATGTCATATCATTGATATGCTTTGCGCTGAATCAATGACAGCTCTAGACTTAAGGACACATGTACATACTTGAATTAATTTTAAAATTTTACCATTCAGATTCGTGTGACAAAAGGCAAAATTGTATACAATTCAAAAGTACAGCATTGTAATATTTTAATGGATACATCATAATATACTTTTATTATACTTTTGAATGATGCACCAAAGCAACATTTGTTACCTGAATCATATTTTACCTGCTCCCTAGAAGGTGTTATACAACACTAGGGGCTTAATAAGTTATGTCTAAGTTATACCAAATATTAAGAAACTAAAGTTTTGAATGCTTTATTGTACTTATCGATTTCAAAGAAACACAAAAATTGCTTTCAAAATGGTTGTTGGGTGTCATTCAATGCATTGTCACAATTATCTAAAAAAGTAAACATATTGCTGGAAAAATTAATAATGCTGGTTAAAGTATAAGGTCATAGCTACCATATGCATTTATCAAGTTACATGTATGCATTTCTTTTGATTTGATTAAGGTTAAAATATTTTGGACCATTTACTTACCATATCACTCATTTTGGCAATACTGTTGCACAGATTCTGCTAACTTTTGCATTATTTGCACATTTCTGCGTTACTGGATATACAAGGTTGACTGTATTGTTAAAATTTTAAATGGAGAAATAAATAATATGATATTCAAAGCATGAAAACACCATAAATTCAGCAGTTTACATTATATACTGTGAGCGTTCAACTTGTTTCAAGTATAGAAAATATTTTTGCCTTTAAGGTAACATGAATAAGAATGAAGTGAAACTTTCTGAAGGAAGCCAAGGTGAATAACGTCCGTTTAGTGTAATTATTACTGTTTTATTTTCAGAAAAAGAGGAAAAGGAAGTTAGAAGAGGATAATGTTAGCTTACAGAGTTTTGAATCTGGAAACAAGGTAAATAGCAACTAAGTCCCTAATGAGTGTTATGAACATATGGCTATATCAAATTCTTTGTTTAAAGGCCTATTAAGCCCCAAAAATGAACTACTTGTATTTTTCAAAAGTTTCTATTTTTGGTGTCCTGTTAAAGTTCAGAGATCATTTTGGTCGAGACTTTGCACGAGATATTTTGCCCAATTGCTAAATTTTGATAAAAAAAATTTAATATTTGGAAGGATTTTAATAGATATTGTAAGACATGTAAGCTTGTTATTGTAACTGAAATATTCTATTTTTAGAATCATTATTTATTTATTAAATAATTACTTTTTGTCATTTTTAGCATATAAGTAATGTATACGCAATATTCCTATTCAAACAAGGACAGTAAAGTAATAATATTGTTTTCAGCATTCTATTAATTCACTATGTATAAACGTTCCTAAAATTGAATGTTACCTTTCTCCGAATTTCATGTTAGATTGTTGACATTTTAGGAAGCACGATTATTTCTTTATTCCTGGATTAACATGTCTGTTACTCCACATTTTGTAGTATCTATTATGTTTTGATGTTATAATCAGTAATTGTTCATGAAACATGCTCTAATCAATTTATTTTTGTCAAAATAATAATTCCTAAAACTTTCCCAAAATGTTCGTGGAGGCTGCCATCTTTGTTTTAGGTACACGAGTACCGATATCTGTAGTTTGTTTAGAAATGAAGCATATTTGACTTTATTGTGTAACATGTATTTTGTATTATGTGATTATAATGTTTGCTTCTCAAATTGTTCAAGAGATTTACTGTAATAACTTATTTTTGTAAAACAAGACCGCACTATTTATTCGGTCATTCGCGTAGTAAAGTTGGGTTGTGGAATCACCCTAATTCTCTTTGAATTGTAATTATCCTGCTAAATTACCATAAGTATTTAATTGAGTTGTATTTAATAGCGTAAGTGTTATTTCTCAACATAATGATTACTTACAACTTTATATGTTCACTTTGTATTTTGTTATTATGATCTGTTGAGCTGTTTACTCATTTTAGGATGGGAATTCCTAACTGATTCTGATTGGCTTAGATAAATCCTAAGTGCAATCTGATTGGTCGATAATCCTTTCCTAAATTCCTAAACGGCTCAAAGGTTATAAATAGAGCGACAGTCCTCATTTTGGAACAACAATGCCCACGAAAGTTGCTTAGGCGCGATAATTCAAAACTGAGCAGAAAACATCAAAACTGAATTTTAGTAAGTTTCTCTTTAGGAAAGACTCCTAAATCACATTGGAATATGTATTATGAGAGCTGACGTACTTCATGTTATAACTTTTAATCCTAAATTAAACGAATATTAGACCAAAGAATCCAAACTTGATAAAAGCGTTGTTGACTTATATTTAAGGAAATCATAAAATGACTTAACATAGCGCCTTATGAAATGATGCTGAAACCTATTTCTGTATATTGATGATAAGTTATAATGTTATATTAAATGTTAGTATATATATGCAGTTTATGTATACAAAACTGATGTATACACTATTCAACCAAAGAATTGAAACTTGATGAAAGCGTTGTATTATTTTTCTGGAAATTCTAAAGAAAAGAGTCTACTAATATAACATTGAAACCGGGTGCTGTATATTACTGATGCTAAGTTAGCATATATGTTTATACAGTAGAACTTGTGGCGTATTTTTGAAACAGCTATCCTGACACTGCGGCAAAAGTAGGATCAATAAGATAAAATAGAACATAATTTTATTTATTCAATACTTTGACATTTTTACAAGCATTTCATTCATTCACTGCAATATCGCTCTAGCCTTTTCATGTTTCCAAATATTGAAGGCAGATTTACAATTAAAGTCTGCAATACTGGGTCCCTCAATCATAATTCTCATTAACATGTCACAATGTTCACCAAATATCTTATCATGTATGTAAAGGTGTTGTAATGCTGTTTTATGCAGAGATACTACGTTCACAATCACATTTATGAACTGTATGGGTAAGAGCTAACATAGCAAGCTTGATCATATTTGGAAAATCTTTGATTCATCAGCAGACAGCCAAATTTTCTTCTTGGCGAAAACTAGATACATTAAGCCGGCATTAGCATGATCTTTAGACGCTCTTTACATTGCAATACAAAATATTACGATGACATCATATGCAAAGTACTCTTTTTAAATCCTGCAAAGAAAATTAAATAACAGAAAGGCACTTTTTTGTTGGCGAGCGGTTTGAGAATAGGATGCGATTTTTTTTCCCAGTTAAGGATTTTTCATGTGATTTAAGTCAAACAAATGCGAGAATATCGTAGAATCATGGTCAAAAAATAGTCCCTGTAGTTTCCAAAAGTTACTTATTGACCAATGACCATATATCTTAAACAATATTGCTTCATTTGTAATTGTATTTTAGGATTTTGTACAGTTATATAGTGATGTAGTCTGTTGTATGGAAGTCAATTTCTATCATCGCTGTCACACTTATAAGGAATTTTTTCCAGG